AGGAAGGTGATCTGGAGGAGGAAGAAAGAGCTGCTCCCTTGTTAGGAAAGTCGTAACGCCAAGGAGAGATGTCTGCGCCTCCCGGGGGGCTGCGCACAGGCTCCTTCCCTCTCCCAGGGCAGTACGACAAGTAAAGCAAGGAAATCAGTATATGCATCTTATGGGTCTTGTCCTAAAGACACCCAAGCAAAGGTGCCTGGGCACTTTTAACATGCCAGGAGACACCCAGCAGCCCAAAGACTCTGCTAAAACAAATTTCAGGACCCAGAGTACAGAAATACAGCTACAATATGACCTTTTTTTTTTTTTTTAAAGTCCTCACATTTTCTCCACGTAATAATGCGATTTACCTCCAAGGCTGCCTCAACAAGGTCCCTTTCTTTGGCCTCCAGCAGCCTGCTGTACAGAGTCACAATCTGTTCAGTCTTGCCCGAATTTCAGGGCTCCCCCTCGACTTTATCCTACAGCACTGGGGTAAAAGGAGGAAGAGGAGGATGGGACACGGAGAGAAGGAAGGGCCAGCTGGCTAGTGGAAAGCTGCAGGAAGGCTGCAGGCAGGTTTGCACCAGGCCACGGAGAAAACAGGGAAAAAAAAAATTAAGAAATAAGTGATAGCAAGAGTCCCAACTCTGGGCTTTCCTATGGACCTGCTGCGCACTAAACGCTCAAATGAGCATTTATTCCTATTTCAGAGAGATACTTTGCACCCAAAAGTGATGGCGCTAGCTTTGATTTCTTAGGGAATCAGTAAATCAGAGAAAGGGAGCAGATTTATTACTATTCCTGCAGCTGGTGAGCAACAGACACAGCAGCTCCTGTCGGGCGCCGCGAGGAGGCGGCTCTTCCTCCTGCCGCTCTCCTGCGGCACCTGCAATAACCAGGTTATGGGAGAGCTTAAGCCAAGCGAGGGGCACTGACCCTGCACAGCCCAAGCTGGGCAGAAAATTGACTGGTATTTCCCTTATCTTCACAAACCGGAGCAGCAAGCGGCTGAAATCAGGCTGAGCGCACACGGTGGCCCCAGCTGCGGGACGGGGCTCTCGCAGGCACCACGTCCCTGCTGGGAAACCTCTGCACAGGGGATTTATAGCACGGAGCCAGGAATTGGCTCTGGGCGGAGAAGATCATTCGTGAACAATGAGGATGGGACAAAAAGCAGCACGAAGGGCACAGGAGGAGGTACTGACCTGCATCCTGCCTGCGCTTAGGGAGAGCCCCTTGGCTCAACACTCCGACTTCTCTTTCCTGGTGCTTCATTCAATAAAGATTTGGTGGTAACGGAGAAGGGGAAAGGAAACCCCTTGTGCCCATGTTGCCATCAGCTGCTTCTTGTTTTGCTCACCTTGGTCTCACCCCACTCAGGGTCTCCCAGGAGGGAGCAGAAACCACCTCTCAGGTGTGATGGTGCCCGGGGCTCACACAGCAGCTCATGTCGACATAAGCAGGTGAAAACTGTTAACCTACAACCCCTGCAGCACCCACACTTGGTCTGGAACAGGGAGCAAATTCTCCTCCCATGTGCACATAACAGAGAAATTAGAGCACATAGAGCCCAGAGGGAGATCTGCAATGTACTCCGTAGGGTGGGAGT